GGTGATCATTTCACAGTACATACAGACACCAAATCAGTAATGTTGTCCAACTTAAACTTATACCATGTTATATGACAATTGTATCTCAATAAACCTGGGGAAAGAGGAGGACAGCAGGGGCAGGAAGCTGAGTGGACAGTGGCAGAGGAGAGTGCCTGAGGCCGAGGCCCGACTCCAGCGCTAACCTGCCGGGTGCTCTGCAGGAGTCTCTGGGCCTCTGGGGCCCCGTGTTCTTCATCGGTAACGTCCCTGCTCTCTCCCAGCACTGCTGTCCCCGAGGGGTGAGGCTGCTCAGGCCAAGGTGACAGAGGATCCGAAGGGCCTGGTCAGATGACCCTGACCCTCTGGGCCCTCACAGTGCACTTCACTGAGTGGTCAGAGGGCTCTGGCAGAAGTGGCCTCCTTCCCAAGGGACTGAAGTTGGTTTACTAGATGGGGCCATTTTAACCTCTGACATGGCTGATTAAACTTTCAGTTCTGTGAGGAAAAGCAAAACTATCAATCCAAGTTTATGACAATGTCAGAGACGTGGCTGATGAATACTGAACACAGAGTGAACAACCATTGTCGGCCCAGGGTAGAAACTTCAGGATCATTCTAGACCTTTCCGTCTTTCATTCCCATAATGGTGACCGCAGCTGGCACATCATCAGCCTTCCTCGGTCCAGGGCTCACCTGAACCGAGTTCTCGAACCCTCCAACAGCCCACGAGGCAGGATGGCTGTTCCTGCTCTGCAGGCAAGGGAGCTGAGCTGAGAGAGGCGCTCACTCAGGCGGCTCAGGGGTCCACAGAGTCCCCTCCACTGGCTCTCAGTTCCCCAGCACCTGGTCAAGTCTGTCCCCTCCCCAGCCCAGCCTGTCTGCCTGTCCTGCTGCTGCTGCCCAGACCCACAGCGTCTCTCACCTGGCCAGCTGCCACTGTCCCACAGGCAGTCCCCACAGGTGTCCCTGGGCCTCGTAGTCTTCAGGGCACCAGGGCCTCATAGCCTCCTGAGCCCTCCCCTCCCCATCTGCTTGGCTGGGTCACTCCCCGCTCTGCCTAGGAAAGCCCTCCTGCCTTCTCTGCCTGGCAGAGCCCCTCATCCCAGACACTCCTCCCAGGAGGGTGGGCTCCTGGCTGGGATTCCCGACACTCCTCGTGTGCCCTTTGGAAACTTCAGTATCATCTGTCAGTGTTGTGGGTGTGAAGGACTGGCTTGGCATGTTTGTGTCCTCTGCTCCCAGGGGGACAGGGACCCTGTCACAGTGAGATGTGGCACATGCCAGGTAACTTCGGTGCTCTGTAACCAGACCCCTGGAAATCACCCCTACTTGCTGTGTGACCTAGGGTAAATCATTGAACCTCTCTGTGCCTCAGATTCCTCATCTGAATGCTACCCACCCTGCATGGCTGTCACAGGGGTTGAGTGAAGAAGTACAGCACCTCCAGCAGCCCCGGGCACCCAGTGCTGTTGGGGGTCCCGTCCCCGGGTGTCGGCATCCTCGTGGGCTCTCACAGACAGTGTGTGGGCTGAGGGAAGTCCTGGAAGCTGAGTGCTCTGCGTGGACCTCACCTCTCAGGGCCATCTGTAGAGCCTGCACTGGGACTGTCCCCACGTTACTGTGAGGGACAAAAGTGGTCCCAGCCAGGAGCCCCGGGTCTGCCTGCAGCACCCCTGCTCTTAGAGGCTGCCGTGACCGGGGACAATGGCGACGGAACACAGGCCTCTGAGTCACAGAGAGTGAGGAAGTCACTGTAAATCTGTTTTTCCAAATCACGTTATTTTAACTGCTGTGGGCTGATGCCCACGTGAGCAGGGACACTCAGCTGGGCTAGAAGCACTTTGTCCCCTGAAAGGCCCCATTGTGACCCCGAACCTGCCCCAAGTGATTCCCGGATCAACAGGCCCTTGTGTGGGCCCCGCAGGCCTGCTCACTCCACCCCCGGTTAGCGTGAGGACCCTCTGCTCCTCTGTAAGGTCAGCACAGGAGCCTTAAACCCCCATTTGGGCTGCTGCTGGGCTCTGATCAGAGATGCTTCTTAGAGTTTGGTTCTAGGATGTCGATGAAGCTCAGCTCCTGTAAACTGCGTCCTCTCCAGGAGAAGGGCAGGTCCAGTGGGACCGACTGTGAGCAGAACAGGGGCCAGCGGGCTGGTCCCAGAGGAGGACTGCATGTGGATGAAGCCCCTCCCAGGCCACCCTGCCCTGCCCTGGGAAGGCCACCAGGAGAATGCCCCCAGGAGGTGCCCCAGAGCCCCATGAACAAGGGGGCCCCAGGCACTGCAGTCACAGATGACAGCCTCCAACACGTCCTGGGTGGACGTGACCCACAGCTGCCTCTCGCTGTGGGCCCTCCCCTGACGCACACCCTCAGCATATTTGTGGGGACTGTGGTTTGTTCTCTCCTGCAAGCTTTGGCTCTTGGTCACATCGGAGACATCAGCTTCTTCTTGATCCTTTCTCAGGCCCGTGGAGGCATTCAGCTCTTTGTTCCAGGAGCTTAAAAACACCCAGTTCCTCGCCTTCTTTACAAAGCATCAGCTGGTTGGGGTGGGCCTTTGGCTTTTTGGGGGCTGCAAAGTGGTACTCGGCAGGTGCCTGAACTGGCATTGTCATGACTTTGCAGCTCACAGCAGCCAGCCCCTTTCATTAAGGACCTGGACTTGGCCACACGGCCTGCTGCTGACCCTGCCCATGGTCTAGAGCTGTCCCAGCCTGGCTTCATCTCCCGCTGAATGTCCACTACAAGGTCTTGTCGCACTGTCACTTCCTGAGGGCTGGAGGGCTGACCAGCATGAGGACAGGTCTGGGCTCCCTAGGGCAGTCAGCGAGCCCAGGGCCCCCAGGACAGAAGGAGCAGGCCCTAAATCCAGCTCCAATTCTCCCCAGTGGAGTGAAACTGCTTTCTCACCTATAAAAGGACAGTTGTGGCATCTCCTGTGGCCACAGGAGGATGACAGGAGGCTTCAGAGATGTAAGGTCCTTATTCAGTGCCGGGGCCAAGGCAAGAGCTCAAAAACAGCAGGGAAGATGGTTACCTAGGTGCAGACATAGGTCCTTTGGGCTGTTGTGTTTGGGTGTTGATGCTTCCTGACCTTTGCTCCAAGACAGGGCCACCAAGCAGGCAACATCTAAGGAATGTCCCACTTGTCCTTGGTGTGCCACCAAGCTATGTCCCAGAGGAGGCTCCCTCCTGCCCAAGACCCAGAGGCAAAGAGGTGAGGCATGCCAACCGCAAGAAGCTTTGGGGGCCAGACACCATCCTGCATCTGCAGGGACCAATGGTCCCAGCACACAGTAGGTGCTCACTTCACAGCCCCTTCTCTGCAGTCTGACACCTTTCATCTATTGCACAGCAGGCTCCTTAAATGCCCCTTCCCCAGCTCCTTCCTCCCCAGGCACGTGGGCTTCCAGGGGTCTGTGCCCCAGCAGGAGGCCTGCCCATCAGCCAGCATTTGAACTTGCAAACACTCCCCAAGGAGCTGGATGCAGACAGAGCTGAGCAATGAGATGCATGAGCAAGGGATCTGGACCAGGGCGGGTTCGGGGAGAAGGGTGGTCTGGGGGAAGGAAAAGCAAGACCAGGAGAGGGCATGTTTGAGGCTACCCATCCCAGTAACAGCCAAGGGGAATAGGATGCAAGTCAAACACCAAATGAAACTGCAAATTTCACAGTGACTCAGGATGGGAGGGAGGAGAGTCATGTCAGAGCATCATCTGCAAAGACTTGGATCAATAAGGGTTTTATCCTGAAACTAATTTGCAACTGAAAAGTAGAAAATAGAGAAAGATCATATCAAAGTTTCTTTAAAGAGAATGAGTAAAATTTCAAAACATTGAGGAACTCTTGGAAATTCAACTAAGCCTTTGGTTTCTTCTTTTGGATGAGGGTCAGCAGTGCCCCTCTGTCAGCATCACGGTGCAGGCTCCCAGGACTGTGACAGGTAGTTTTGTCGAAAAAACAAGACTTGTGTCAATCGATACTTTGTGAATTTTCTTACACATGTGACAAACTTCCTATCATTTCTTAACTTGTACTGTAATTTTTCAGTATCAAGCCCCAATCAGACCTTCTGCTCCTAATTTATGATGAAGTTTTTACTTAAGTTTTATTTTCTGTAGACTCACCAAAAGTGGCCCTTTTCTGGAATAATTATCCTGGGATAACAGAGGACGTCCTGGAGATGCCACTGAGACCCTCTTTAGTCATGGGGTCCCCAAGGTGGGAGGGAAGGAAAATGTCAACTAGTCAAACCTCCTCCTGAGGCTGGAAGCTTTGCTCTCGTGGCACGAGCCAGAGGTAAGCCAGCCCTGCCCATCCGCCTCCACGGCTGGGGTCTGACCAGTTTCTGAGGCTCCTGGTCTAGAGCCCCAGCTCTGGGACATCACGGATTCTTTGAGTGACGGGATGAAGGAGCACTTCATGCCAGGAGCTGACTGTCAGGATTCCTCACTGAGGGCCCCTTCCTGTTATCTCCTCTCCTCTCAACCTGGGCATCTCATCCCAGAAATTTGGCACTCAGCACTTGTCACCTCACTTCCTGTCACTCTGCAGTCTGGTCCCCTTTCTCCCCTATGGAGTGGCCCAAGGAAATTCTAAACAGTTTATTATCCACATCACTAACGGGAACAGAACACACAGCCCACTGCCCAAAACATCTCTGATCAGCTTCACAGAGTGAGAGGAAACTTCTACACCTTGTTAGCTTGTGGCTTGAGGACTTTCCAATTGAGCACAGACCCCTTTGTCTTGTAGGAAAAAGACGGGACCCCAGGCTGGGACTTGGCAAGTTTCCAGAGAGGTGAAGCCATCTGAGGCCCCTGGTAGCTGGGGAGGGCGGGAGACCGAGTGTGGGCCTCCCTGAGTGCAGTGACTAAGCACACACAGCTGTCATCTGAACTGCCATTTGATGCCGCCTCTAGAGATTCAGTCTAAGCCAAGGATTCCTCAGAAAGAAAGCTGGAAAGATGGTCCTGATACTGGGGAGTCAAAACAGAACCACAAACACCTGAGAAAAGTATTGAACGCAAAGGCCCTTTATAAAGTATTTCAAAGCTTTATCATCTTCACCGTGGACATCTGCAAGTACTTGTTGGGTGAGTTTTATCCTTATGACAGGGAGAATCTCCATGAAGACTTAGAAACACGCCACCAGATGGGGGCTCAAAAGACCCTGTGGAAGATTCCAGCAGAGAGTTCTCAAGATCCGGTCCAGGGCTCAGCAGGGGATCTTTGTTTCGTGGTCTCTCAGATCACAGTCCCCACACTCCACCCACCGCCCCCTTCCACAAATAGATGACCCTGAAAGACGGCTCAGTAGTTGGAGGTTAAACGCAGCAAGTCCCAACCCTGACAGGAGGGACAGGGGAGAGTCAGCATAACGCCCACAAGACACACAGCGTCGCTCTTCTTTTGGTTTCTTTTTTCCACCATGGAGAGCATTTCTGCACGCTACAATTATACCCCGTAGGACGGCCAATCAGGTAACAGCCGCTGGCTTTCCAACCAATCAAACTGTCTGCAGCAGGAAGCACAGGCATGGATCATGTACAGCAGAGTGGCTAGCAATGAAAACACCTGAAACCAAGACAAATGACCATTAATTGGCACACATGGAGAAAGGGCAAGGCATGGGTCATCCACTCATAATGATGGCCATTAACATGGAGCTCAAGATGACAGAACTGAAGTGTGTGGATCGCCACTGCGTCCCATTACTCACGCAGACATCCTTTCTGGCTGAGCCCACACATGGCCCTGAATGCCTTTGGCACAGAACTCCAGGTGACCTAACAACCCACTGGACGTGGTGTGCAAGGTCAGCCATCTGCCATATCACACCATCATGCTGGTGCCACCAAATGGAAATGGGGTCCTCAGAGGCCCCTCAAATGATACTCACAGGTGAGAACCAGCTGCTCTCCGTGGGAAACTTGCTTCCTCCCCACCAGGAAGAGCCGGGTCCACCAGCTGTGAGCCCAGTGGCCTCAGTTGGAGAACATGAGCACAGCATTTGCTGGCTCTGGTGAAGGTCTCAATGCTGCCTGGACGTCCTCAGACCCATCAGAATGTTATTCTAGGATCATAATCTCACAGACACGGGCGAGGAGCCAGGCTCACAGGACTGAGGGACAGGGACAGGGAGGCGGGATTGTGAAATGCTGCAAAGGAGGGGCTCCTGAGAAAGCTGCTGGGAAGATGCAGTCGGCTGTTTTGACGCTGGGAACAAAGCCCCTGGAAAGGTAGCAATCGGTCACCTGTGGCCTGTCAAGCCCCTGACGAGCTGTGCTCAGTGGACACCATCTACTCCTAAATGCCTGCTGCCCCCGAGTCCAATATCTGCACCTGGATGTCTGACCTGGGACGTGGGGTCAGGAGTGTGCAACCAGGCACAACACTTAGGGGGCTACGCGTCCGTGACTCGTAAAAATGCCCACAGACACCAGCTGTCACCGGGCCTGCCCTCTCCCTGCCCCACACAGGGCAAACCCTTCACTCTCGTTGGCCAAAGGTGATGAGTAAGCCGAGTATTTGATCACACGTCTGAGAGAGCTCATCCGGGAACTCTGAGGCAGCCCACCTTAAAGGAGTGGTCACCATGGGTGAGCAGCCCCCAAAAACACCTCAGACCGTCAGGTGGGAGCAGGTTACTGTCCGGGCATCTCCAGACCCAGCGAGAACCCTTGGCAGAGGAGCCTCAGAAGTCCCCACAGGAACAGGACACAGAGCTTATTTTCCAAGTGAGGGCAAGAAATGGCACCTTGGGGACACGGACAGCAGGGACATGAAGGGACATCCTGAGGCTTTCAGAAACCCCTTTCCCTAAATGGCTGCCATTGTTGCCCCCCACTGTTAGGATCCAGAAACCTCCAGATTTCTGCAGACATTTCCAGCTCCCCTCAGTCGGCTCCCACTAACCCCAGGGATCCTTCGGTGCAGACACTCTGCTGTCAGCAAACGGGGGAGAAGCTCAGCTCCTGAGGCAGGTCCCAGTTAGGGGTCACAGAGGGCGAGAGGCAGGCCAGATGCTCCCAAAGGCCAGGGGTGTGAGGAGAAGGTCTTGAGATACCTCCCACAGCCCAGACGGGCCTCCCCGAGACCATGGGAGGCTGTGTGATGGCTGGGCAGGGTCTGGGGTGAACCCTGAGTGACCAGGACTCCTTCCCCTGTGCACGGACACAGCTGATATTCTGAACAGAAAGGCAGGACTTCACATTGACCCGGGCTCGTGTTCCCCTTGATGGTTTCAGCCCAGCGCCCCTGCCTGCTGAGAACATCGTGATTCTTGGTTCTGGCACTCCTGACTCTGCCTGGGGGCGCTCACATTTCTCCAACTCAGCTAACAGAAAGGGGGACACAATCAATTGTGGACTGGATAAAGAGATGCTGGGATCATCATGAATGGAATACTCTACAGCAACGAGAAGAAACAGTCTGCATCTCCACCCAACAGTGGGACGAGCCTCGCAAACCTAAGGTGGAGAGAAAGAAGCCAGAGAGAAAAGACACACACTGTGCGATTCCATTCACATGAAGTTCAAAAGCAGGAGAAATCAAGCTAGGCAGCTAGGAGTCAGGCCCATGTTCATCCTTGGTGTGGGTGAGCAGTGATGGAGGCAGGACAGGAAGGGGGTTTCTGGGAGCAGTTTATGATGCTCTATTTCTTAATCTGAATGGTGAATATACAGAGGGGTTCACTTTATGGAAATTCATCAAGCTGTGCACTTGCATCCTGCTCACTTCTCTGGATGTGTTACCTTTTGATAAAAACAAATAAAAGAGGAGTCAGCACAGGGTAGAGCCCAATGGTTCTCAGCTAGAGATCTGTCCAGCGGGCAGGGGCATTAATCTACCCCATCTGGGTTGTTTCATCAAGTGCTGACCCACTAGCCATGTTCCTTCTACATGTCCTTACCGTTGTCTGCAATAACTTTACAGAAGTTGTTGGCAAATGCCTTGCTAATTTCTGTTCGGAGAGAAGGCTTCTGGGGTTCAGATAGGGGAGGTATAAGGCTTTCTAGATGAGGGGAGACGAAACAGAGTCATTTGAAGGATGATGGAGGAGGTGGATGACCAGCCTCCCAAGGGAAGGAAGAGCATCCTAGGGGCTGCCCGGCTGTGCTACTGTTTAGAAAACAGCCATCTTGGGAGATGAGCCAATATGGGAGACATTCCCACACTGTGGGACATTTGAGGGGTGCAGGGACCATGAGGTGGCCATATTGATGGACCTGGAGAGCAGGCTGGGAGCTTAGGAGGAGCATGTGGCCTCCTCAGGGCAGGGGACAGGCCCACAGGGACCAGCAGACAAGGCTTTGAGGAACCTTCCCCAGAGCCCAACAGTGCCCACCCTGTGGGATTTCTCTCAGCCTCTGCTCTGTCCTCCCCAAAATGGGGGACAGCACAGCTTTGGCTCCTGGAGCTGACATCCTGTGATCTGTCGTTACCTTTGACCTCGGGATTTCCATAATTCATAGGTTGACCTCTAGAAATCTGAAGAACACTATTTCTGAAACTTTTTCTTATTTTTTAAACATTCCTCCATGCCTAGAAATACATCTGATGTGGTGAGTTACCACATGGGTGCAAGCCCACCATGCACAGCTCTGGGAAAATGTTTATGAAACAATGCATCCTCTTACTCCTGTCTTTCTGACCCATCCCATTAAAACAAAATCCAGGCCATGACCTCACCCACCAGTGGGTCTGGCCCGCAGTGGAGAACGTTCCTTTTAGAGCTCAGACACCTGCACACACATGCCCCCCCAGTCACACACAGTCAGCCCCCACGTTTCTTCTGGCGACGGGGTGAACGAGGCTCAAGCCCTGCTCCCCCCAGGGCTCCTGTGAGGCCTCGGCACGAAGCTGTTCAGTATCCACAGTCCTCGAGGGGAAGGGACAGGAATCGCCGTCCCATTTCACAGAGGAGCAGGCCGAGGCTCAGGGAGCACAGGGGACGTGCACAGGGAGCTGGTGGAGACGTGACCTCTGGCCCCTCCTCCTCCCACAGGTGCTCAGAGCTGTGGGACAGGAGACACCGTCACGAGGAGCCGAGGCCTGATCGCACAGCAAACACCCACAGCTGGGGGTCTGGACTCACTGGGCCCAGAAGGGCCTCCCCACAGCCCAGCCCAGAGCCAGGGCCTGGGGAGACCCCGGCCACTCGATTTTCACCCCAGGCCTCAGTCTCCCGCCCCTGACTGTGCTTCCATGGAAGACCGCTCAGGGGGCCAGGACACCCAGGGGCCCGACTCACTGCTCCAAGCTGGTGCTGAGGGTGCTGACAGGGCACCTGGCCTGACACCAGCCCCGCCCATTCCCGGTGACCTTGGAGCATGTTATCCTGCTCGTGGTGCCCTGGTTCTCCATCTGTGAAATGGGGATGACACAGCGCCCACACCCCAGGGCTGCTGTGAGGGCTCAATACGATGGTTCACGGAGAGCTCGGACGGCGCCGGGCATCAGCGGTCACGTCCTCACACACCCGCCCTCTGCAAAGCCCACCCAGGCCCAGACCCTGGGCCAACCCAGTCCTGGGCAGCGCAGCCCTGACTGGATGACAAAGGGAGTCAGGCATGTGCCCTCCCTTCTCCGGGGTTTTGTGTCTTCATGATGAGGGGAAGGTCTATTTCATTCAAAAGTCGGTGAACTAAAAACAGAGGGGAGGGCTCAGGCAGCCTTCCGCTCAGACCCTGTCAGTGGGTGGTGGGAGCTGTGAGCACCAGCAGGTTCACTGGGGAACTCACCGCAGCAAAGACGTTTTCGAGGTAATGTTCATATAGCAAGTCATATTCCATGGTGCTGGCAACTGAACCTTCTAGCAAGGAGGCGCTGAGGTAAAACAGGGCAGCTATAAAGTGGTAGAATATGTCCTGCAGGGTCATAAAGGGCCATCAGAGAGATGAGGAGCCCAGAAAGAGAGACATGGGGCAGCTGTGGTCCCAGCAGGGCCCGTCCACAACACCTGTCCCCACCAGGCATGGCTCAGGTCCCTTGGTCACCTTCGGCCACTTCCTTTGACTCCCCCCACCCCATCCACCATCACCACACCCTCCAACCCCCCCTCACAGAGGTCGTTTGTCAGCTGAGTTTCATCTCCCTGGTCTGGGGGCAGAGTAAGGACTTCAGTGGAGAAGGGACGCTGCTGTCCCTTGAGGGGGGATCAAGTGAGAGGGCAGCTTGGGACTGAATAGGCAGAAGTTTGTTCTGGACCTGAGAAGTGTCATCCATGGTCACAGTCCTGGTTTGGATGCGGCCTTGGTGACCAGTGCAGGGGAGAGAGGCCCAGGCCATTTCCATTGTTCTTTTGTTGTTCGTTTTTTGGTGGGGAGGATGCAAGGGGCTCCAGCTATGTTTACAAGCAAAAAAGTACTAGACTTGGATTTTGAGTATCCATAGTTTAGAGGTGATTTCACAAGTGTAAGCAGGAGACCTTTTGAGAGTGAGAGGCCTGGCCAAATGGCCCCACCCCCTCCAAGGGATGTAAGGGGCAGGGACCCCTGTGTAAGTTTCACCCTCTTCATGGGCCTCCAGGCAGAATTTATGCAGAACAGAGACCACAGGACATGTCTCTCCCCCACGAAGTCCCTCACTGGTGACCCAGCATTAGAAACCTGTGACTGAGAGCTGGGCAGTAAGCATGGCCTCACACTGGGCAGCCAAGGCCAGCCCCCAGGACCCTGCTCTCAGGAGATGGAAACCAGCCCTCCTGCATGATGGGAGGTGCCAACAGGCCCCTGGTAGGTGCAGGCAGGATGGCAGCGGGGTTGGGCAGCTGGTTATCCACGAAAAAGGCAGTCACACAGGAGGAAGCAGAGCAGACGGTGACAGTCAACCTCTGCCATCACCTTCTCCTGACCTCCCGGCTGCACAGAGCCCCAGGCTGCTGTGCACAGCTCGGAGCTGAAGGCCCAGCCAGCTCAGCCTTGGAACATGGGTGGGAGATGGCTAGAGGGCAGCCTCACCCAGCACTGGAAAAGCCAGCCTCCCAGGGCAGAGGATCCCATCCACCCCCCTCAAATACCCAGGGCTGGGACTCACTAGAAGTTTCCAGGAAGTCTTACTATCACGGACACCAATTATGTACCAGAAGAACAGGGCAGTGGTGCCCACGAAGCAGAACACAGACGCGAACATCACCCAGCCCTGGAGCAGGGGGAGGGGCACCAGGGACGAGGCGATCAGGATCCACACGAGGCCCCCAAAGACCTGCAGAGGGAAGGGGGGCAGGGTGAGCATCGGGCCAGGAGAGCCCACGCCCAGGAAGGGCCAGACCAGAGGGCACGCTGGGGCACGAGGGGCAGAAGAACAGGAAGGAGGCAGAGAACAGCGGGGGGCATTTTCCGCACCAAGAATGACTCTTTCAGCCCCCAAGGCTCTAGCCTGATCTCCAGTCTCAGTCTTTCCCAATCCTCTGCTTCCTTGCTTTTATTCACTTTTTAAATATAATTTTAATTTTTTTATTTAACAAGCATTTCTATCACATTTATATGCCAGGCACTGGCCTAAGCACTTTAAAAATATTAACTCAGTTAATTCTCACACAACCCTATGAGCAAGGTACTGACCCATGTGTCAGGTGGGGAAACAGAGGCACATGGAAGGTAAGTAATTCATTATGCCGAGAAAGGACTTATGCCATCCAGTATTTTCATTAGAAGTGCTAATTCTGAGATATATCCTTCCCAGTATTTTCAATATAAAAATATCCTTTCTTTTATGAAATGGTAGTGAGCAGATGATTCTTTTGGTCTTTATTGTCAAATAAATCAGCCACATTGTGTCATTAGCATTTTTTAAAATAATGGACCCCTTAAATCCCCAAGTCCAGGAAGTGCTCTGAGTACTGGCGTTGGGGCTGGAGAGAGGACCCAGCTCAGCCAGGCTCCTCAGGTGGCCGAGGGTGGCATGAGAGCATCACTCCCCCATCATCACCCAGAAGACACCCCAGTACTGTTCACAGGGTCAGTGAGCCCCAATCAAAGAGAAGTGTAAGGGCAGACGTGGGGGTCACAACACCCCTCAGTGCCACAGTCCCGCTCCCCTGTGGACAAGCTCACCCCAAGCTGGGACTCTCTGTACTTGTCTTCCCTTCTCCTTGTCCCTCTTCATCCCAATGACATCAGCTCAGCCTCATCCGCCATCCCCACCCGGACAAGGACTGTGCTGGATGTGGGCTGGGACATGGGGGAGATGGCTTTGCAGTCATAGGTTCCAAGGTACTGTGACCCTTGGCACATCCTCCTGAGCATCTGGGGGCTGAGGACAGGCTGCCACCATGTCCTACATCCCCTGTGGTGTGAACTCAAGTGGTCCCTTGACCTCGTCTCCCTGTCCCTGCTGCCCACCTGCTGGGTAAGAGACACCACTGTCCTCACAGGAGTTCTCCAAGCCTCTTAGCTGAGAAGCATCAGGAGAGAATCACATTTGGTAGAAAAATCAGTGTAATGAAGAATCTGGAGTTACCAAAACCAACTTGGGCCTCATGAATGAAATCTGGGAATCTGAGCCCAAAAGACTTCCTCTGTTAATGAACCTGAGATGGCCTGGAGGAAGGCATGTGACAGAGCCAGTGGACCTACTTTACAACTTACAGTCACCAGAGCAAAATCAATTAAACACAAATCCTCAGACTGCCACAGATAAGACATGTGTGTCAATCTCATTCATAGTTGCCTTTAAGATCAAACAGGTCACTTGGCCTTTTCCATCACAGGCACCGACACAGGGACATGAGCCAATAGCTGAGACAGACTTGGACTTAGGAGGCACGAGAGTGTGGCATGGAGAGGAGGGAGGATCGGGCATGCCCATCCCGTGGGCAGAGGCAAGGGCCTGGGACACGCTTCCCCTAGGCATCCTTTGCCTGGTCAACCGGTGACCATCCAAAGAGGACCAATCTAAGCTAGGTCCCCGTTCACGTGCTCTCAGGGAGCCCTGCACTGCCCCTTTGCAGCCTGCAGCACAAGACAGGTGCACGTGGTTAGTCACAAAGTGGCCCTGTCCCTGACCAGGTGAGGGAGGGGGTGAGGTCCCCCTTGCTCAGGGCTGACTCTTGGGTGTGGGACACAGGGAAGAGCCGTACAGCCGTGTGTCAGGGTCCAAGTTAGTTCCCTGGCCTTCAGGGTCTCCTCGGAGATGGGTGTGCCCAAACAAGCGACTGATGGACCAAATCCCAGAGGGGCAGCTGGCGCTACACATGGAGGGGAGAGCCCTCCGTGATGGAATCCCACATGGGACCCAGCGGGCCCGAGGTGCTTGCACGTGGCCAAGGGACATGGTACTGAGGGACACTGAATGCCACTTTGGGAAAACGGTTCTCTTTCTCACTCTCTTCAGTCTTTCTGACTAAGGCAAGTAGAAAGGCTCAGGGGGCAGCCAGGGGTCTGGAGCTCCCCTAGAGCATGAACTCCAAGGACAGGCAGGCAGAGGTGATGTAGAGAAGGGCATGGCTTTTATTTTTAAGTGATATAGTTATTCTGGAAAAATTAACTGTAAAATACATAGGCAGTAAATTAAGGCACGGGGGTACCCGGAAGTGGCACAATCTGAGAAGGTGGCTCTCAGACCCTGGTCTCAGGCTCAGTGCCCTGCACCTCGTTCAGCTCGATTCCTCCCCGTGTGGCTCGGTCAGGAATCAAAGGCAGGAAGAGTGAGGGGAAGTCAGAGCGCAGTCCCCACACTGAGTGCTCATCACAGAGTCTTGAGTGAGCACCAGCGAGATGGGGCCACAGCTTTGGGCTGAGCTCCCGGCCCCCAGTACTGAGGGAAGCTTTGAGGTTACCCCAACTCTCCACCTGCTATGGGTGTGCACTTCCACCAGTGTGAGGAAGACTGTATTCCAGCTCCCTAGGAATGCTCTCTCTCTCACACACACTCTCACACACACACACACATCCTTATGCAAATCCCCGGGGTCTCTGGTAAGAATCCTGCCCACAGGAGCAAAGCCCACCCTGTGCTCCATCCCAACCCTGCCCCCTGGGACTTCAGGACCCTGTCCCACCTCTGGTGCACCACCTTGCAAAGGGCCTTTAAAAATCATGTTGACTTCTTTGTGTGGTTTCTCTGTAGCACTGAGTTTCATTGTAAGATGGCGGGGAGAAGTTCTCTCTCTTTTAGACAGCTTTAATGAGAGAGAACTCACACACTACACAGCTCACCCATGTAAGGTGACAATTCAATGGTTTATGATGATCACAGACATGTGCAGCCATCAGCTCCAGAGCCAATTTTAGGACATTTTCATCACCTCGAAGAAACCCTGTGCCCTTTAGCTACGGCTCCCTCCACCCCTCCAATCCCTAAGCGACCACTGACCCACTTCCCATTTCTATAGATTCCCCTATTCTCAACTTTCACATGAGTTGAATCATATATAAAAGGCAGACTTTTGTGACTGGTTTGTTTGTTTTGGCATAAATGTCTTTCAAGGTGAGACATTCTGTCTCAAGGGGACCTTCACAAAATTTCTGCGGCATCACAGCTCAGCCCACCAGCCATTCTGACCCATCATGTGGGGAGACTGACTGAATGTGGCTCATCTCTCTGGAGCCTTCAACTGGAAAGAGCTGAGGACCCTCTGGTGCCCAGGGACATTCTCATAGGAAACATGCCACCAGGCCCCATCTGTCCAGAAACATATTCTAAGAGACATGTCATGAGAAGGGAATGTCCTCACACAGAGGAAATGATTAACCTCTGGAGGTCTTGCTCCCAGGAGATGAGCAGTGGGCTGCCCTGCACCCCTTACAGCCCTGCCCAGCAGGTGCCCAGGGGAGAAATGCAGGGCGACCTGCACAGGGGACCATCTGGGAGGGGGCTGAGGTGGGTGCAGAACACCCCTGAGAGAGGACGGGTGGAGCAAGGAACAGAGACGAGGCTGAGAACAGAGGGTCTATTCCAGCTGGCCGTCTGTGAGCAGCGCCCTCAACACAGATACGGCTGCTGTGAGAGCTCCAGCACGGATGCGTGCTGGAAGGGGTCACAGCTGGAACAGCTGTGCAGGTGTGAAGGCCCCACTCCTCCCGGGCACATGCCAGCTCCCGCAGCACCTGCACCACACAGCGTCTGCATGGGTGGAGGCGCACGTGAGCCCTGGAGAGGGGCTCTCCCCGCATGTGCTAGAGGGGCTGGAGCACGTGACTCGGCCTCTTGGGCCTCGGCTTCCTCGTCTGTAAATGGCATTTTGCAGCTGTCTCCCAACACTGCGGGCTGGTGCAAACTGGCTGAAACCATGGAGGTGAATGTGAAGCTCTGGCACCGTGCCCAGCACCACCCAACAACTGGGGTAGGACACTGCTCACCCAGGAGGCCCACAGCCCAGTGGAGACAGACGCAGAGGCAGCCCGTTACAATGCAGGATGATGCCCTGCCCCGAGTGGGCCAAGCAGCCTGGACTGGGGCAGGGCCCCATCGAGTCTGGAAGGGAGAGGTGGACGTCACTGGCTGACCTGGCCACAGGGTCACCAAGTAGCTCTCCAGGGGGAGGGAAGAGTACACGCCGAGTCCAGAGGATGCTGGAGCACCAGTGAGGGCTTCCGAAGGCCAGGGAGGCGTGCACGGGGTGGGGGACAAAGAGAGGCAGGAGATGGGGCTCGAGGGAGGGTGAGCCTGAGACAGAACTGATCGCTGGGCCAGTGTGGAGGCCTCCAGGCCCCGCTCAGTGCAAAGCTGGGATTCGGAGTGAATCATGGACACAGCCAGCGCCTGCTGCCCTCTACCTACTCAATGTGCAGAAGATTCTCTGTGTGGGCAGCAACCCCCCCGCCAACTGAAAGGCAGCTTATTGGGAGTCTGAGCTCTGAGGCTACTCCCAAGGTGAACATGGGGAGTGGCATTAAGACCACCTGACCCAGTTTACCTGCTCCAGTTGCTCTGCCCTCCCGAGCCCATCATGAGCAGGCTCCCTCCTTCCAGGGACCTATCGTGCCACCATCCCTCCCAAGGCAGCTTAGATCATGTCCTTTCATCTACACTGAAGGCAAACCCAGGACTCAGGGCCATGAGTCTGTTTGTAGAGAGAGGGACAGAGATTTGGGATTCACAGAGAGAGGAGGGCGTCCAGCTCTGTAGCTGATGTTACCAGGGCGAGGGTGGCCTGGGAGAGGCCCTGCTCAGCCCTCTCCCCGCTTCCCGAAGTCCCCGGGCAGTCTGCTCCCCGTAGCACCCACTAGCCCTCTGCTCCCCAGCACCGGCCGTGAGCATGACAGACGATCGCTGACCAGTGTCGGCCTCCCGCCCGAGGCAGAGGACAGTCACCAGCTCCTGAGGGAAGGACACTCCCCTAGACCACAAAGCTGGGGCTCTCACACAGGCCTGTCCTCACCTTGGTGGAAATGTTTCCCCACCACGACTGTACCCCCTGGATTTACCCGCAGGATGAACAGAAACAAGGAGGTTTCATGAAAAATACGGTAAACCACCTCTAAGAGACAAAGTCTGAAATGTAGACCAGACAGGAGGGGCTTCGGTTCAAGAAAAATAAAAGTTATCAACGGGAGTCACCAAATAGGTGAGCAATGTGGTCAGCCAACAAAACAGGTGTGCACCTGCACACAGTGAGAAGAAACCAGCCATCAACGGCCTGGCACTCCTCTGAGGGTTCCAAGGGTCTCCCTGGAGAATTGGTGGTGACTGTCAGTTTCACCCTCTGTCTGCCCTTGGGGTCAAGGACTCTCTTGTTATTCATATATATTAGCCAGGAGGGAGACAAACCCCTAGCCCCTTTCCTACCAATGCACTCTGAGAACAAATGTCCCAGAGGGCACTGTCTGGGCGGGGACATGGGCAGACTCAGGGTCCAGGTGGGAGACAGACCACAAGCATCGGCCTGCAGGACAAGAAATTGGTGCCCCCAGGTGGGCTTCCAGGTGGAGGCGTTGCATGAGCCAGACCAGAGGGACAGAGGACTTAGCCCCACCATGCCACCTGCACCAAAGGAGCACCATGTATGGAGAGCAGCGAGGACTGTGGGGCTGGTTCTGGAAAGAGTCCTAAGATGTAAAAGCTTGTGGTTCTCTCCCGCCAGGGCCCTCAGTCCAACCCTCCCTGGCTTATCACCAAGCAGCTTCAGGGAGGGATGGAGGCTGGGGAGGTGGGTCACGATTATATGCCAGAGGCTGCCCCCTCCCTGAACAAACGGCCTCCCAAATGGTGATGCACTGACACAGATGACAAATCAGTTTTAAAAGTTTGATCCCAGGCCCACTGGTAACTGGTCCTTTCGTCTTTGAGCAGATGCAGCAATTTGCTTGGCTCCCAGAATTCAGAGATTTCCCTGAACCTAGCCTGGCACTAGGCTGGCAGGGCGGTGCAGAGGGAGGCTCAGGAAGTCCCCACTGCCACAAGAGAAGGCAGGACAGGACTGCCACAGCCCCCTCTTCCCTTTAGCCACCCCATCAGGCTGACCAGGGGCAGCTCCAAGCACAGAAGCCACTGGAAAGCCCTACAGAGGGTGGTGTCTCTACAGTACTTGGGGACCCCAGGGACAAGTCACGCCCACCCCCTAATCTCACTCTCCCCCTGCCTCCCGCAGCCTGCCTGGGAAGGGCATCAAAGGTCAAAGGTGGTGGGGATCGGCCTCATGGCCCCTCCTGCAGTTGCCCCCTTTGAGTGTGGATCGGCCAGTTGATTAGAGCAGGTGTTTGACTTATTTCTAAATTAATGATAATTGCACCTAATAGCTCTTGAGCAGGAGCTGCAGGCACCACATGGTTTGAAGAGCTTGCGTACATTACGCTTACTCAGTCCTCACAGCAATCCTTGAGGTGGGTGCTATTACAGCCCCATTTCACTGATGCAGAAACTGAGGCGCAGTGGCCCGCTCACACTCCCACAGCTGCTGAGGGCCAGCTCTGACAGGCTGGTTGTGGAGCCAGGTCAGGACATCCCTTTGTGTGGCAGTCACCCAAGGCCACGCACAGGCAGTTCACCATGAAATCTCCCGTGTGTAGGGCCATTTTGTAAATGGCCATGAGAACAGTAACACGGAGCGAGAGGAGACAGCCCGGCAGCCTTTGTCCTGCTCCCAGCTACCCCAGTCTAGAGAAGCAGAGAAGCCAAATGAGGAGGCGATGGGAGGCAGCCTCCCCTCCCCCACCCTCCACTGGCTAACAGGCTCTGTCCCTTCAGAGGAAAGAACACCAAGGTGTGTGTTCAAGACCAAAAACAAGCAAAAGATCTGAACCCTGAAAGACCTCGCTCGCTCTTCAGCAGACACAGGCCTGGGCTCATCATCCCCGGGTATGTCAACACGACCTTTGTCACCCTGCCCCCACCCCTACTACCAGGGTCAGGATGTGGCCTTCATCTTCTGTCCTTCCTCCTTTGCTCTTTTCCTGGTGTGTCCACCCCAAAGCCTGTGCCCTGGGCCCTCTAAGGGCCTCCTTCAAAGGTGGATCCAGGAGTTGCAGGGTCCTCCCCCTCCTCCTCCTCTTCCTGCCCCCTCCCCTCCAGCCCAACAGCCTTCTAACAGGAGCGGGGCTGGGGCGCAATTTCAGGTCAGCTGAGAGGGGCTGGGTGGCCCTGGGCCTTCCTCTTCCACTGCCTGTGCAGATCAAGGTGTGATGGTGGGTGACAAGGCTTTTATTCCGGTTCCTGCAGATTTTCTCAGGCTCCAGGGCCTTGGTACATTGAAGTGACTCAACACAGGGGTGGTTCTGCCCCAGTGTAGACAGAACAGCAGCTATTAATGAGCTGGGAGTGCTAGAGAGCCTGGAGCAGAGACTCAAGGCCAGTCCATCCCCCCAGGAAGTCATTATGCTGCTGGGGCTCAGCAGGAGCCAACCAGGAACCAGATCTTCCACCAGAATGCAGAGGGCAAGTCAGGGCCCAGGACGCAGAGAACCCAGGGAGCTGCTCCTGCTCCCGGGACAGTCTGCAACCTGTGAGGAGTCGGCCACACTTCCCCATGGCAGCAGTGCTCCAGGGACAAGCTGCCCCACCCACTGTCCTTGTCCATCAGCACCCGAGGAGGACATCTGCTGGGTTATCTCATAGGGCCTGCCCTTGGTGATGTTTGTCCAAAACACTATTTCAACCCAATTCCCTAAACCTCGATTGGTGATACTCCGGCTTCTTTTATTGATTTTTGTAAATGAAATCCTAACCCTGGACAAAGCTGGGCACCTCTACAGGGATGTCACTCTCCGATAAGGGGGTCCTCTGCGTGGCCCATGGGAAGAGGGTGGGAGCGCAGCTTCGGAACCAAGGATGGACCCTGGCCCGCTTCCAACATCTGACCCACTTGCTAATTCGGTTTGTCCACCGAAGTCCTGGAGACTGGTCCCTCCATTGTCGTTGGTTTAAAAAGGGCTAAAGGAGGGGGAGATTTTCCTCACCCTGGCCCCGCTATCCAGATGCTCCTAGGACCCGCAAAACTTGTGGATCTGGTCAGGTCATCTATGCCTAGCCCGCGTGGTAGCACGCAGCACGGCCCATCCCGCCCCCTTCCTGGCTCGGGCTCGCCATCCACTCACAAGCTCAAAGATGAAGAGCACATCGGGGAAGGTGGTGAAGACTTCCCTGCCGCTAGGCAAGCGCTGTCTCCACATGCTGGTTGCAGCCTCGGGGCAGGACCCGCGGCTCCGGCTCCGCGCTGACCGCTCTCTTGCTCAGCGGAGCCCAGTGGACCGGTCCCACTGCGCCTGGCTGAAGAGCAGAAGCGCCCGTGACCCGGAAGGGAGGAGCCCAGGACGCCGCCCACCTTGCCCTGTCTTAGCCAACCCTGTGAGCCCCAAGAGACCCGGCCGCTCTGACTCCGGCGCCGCCTGTACCACCAGAGGGCGCTCAGCGGACTTGCGGAGCTAGGGGCGGGGGATGAGGGCCTGACTCCTGCGTCCCAGCTCTGGGTGCCATCTCCCATGGGGAGCAGGAACAGCCACTTTGCGGAAGCGCTTCGCACGCGTTGCACTCTTGGCAGGGAATCACCATCCCAGAAGAATGAGAACCCTCACTAAGTAGGCTCCAAACTCTCCACCGCAGCACCACTCGGGTCACAATTGCTTTAACTAAGCTGGGTCTCTATTTTTCCACAGGGTGCGTTAATATGAGCGGCCTCCGGGTCCAGGCTCACGGTGGGACCAGGTCCTAGTCCTGCCCGCAGCTGCAGGCTGGGGGTCTGCAGGGGCGTTGTCTACACCAGCTCTGATCACGACCCATTCTCCCACTGGGACCCTCACCCTTTCCCTCTATGCAGCTGTTTTTCCCTCCCAGTCCCAACGGAGAGAAGTCAATTCCTGGACACATTTTCCAAAAACAAAACAAAACAAACCAACCCACGCCCATGAGCTGTCCATTCTGACACTCATGGAGAGGGACCAGGCACCTGAAATGAGAACATCCCACTGCTCCTCTGTGAGCCTCCTCGGGGCTGCTGGCCTTGGTGGCCTGAGACGCAGGGTGTCCATCTCCTTCCTCCTAAGGAGACTCTGGTGGGGACAACCACAACTGGAAGGAGGTGAGAAAACCCTCAAGCAAATCCATCCAAAGCTATTTGGCAATTTCTCTGTCAGTACTCAACAATTAAACACGAAGGTCTTCTCAACTCTTAATAACCTCTTCACCTGGCTTTGAAGTTTTTTGTTTGTTTTTTGGCTGGGTTTTCTGCTGGCTGTTTCAAACCTTTGCTGCTAAATTCCTCAGCCTTGGGCCTGTGACTCTGGGGAGAAGGCGCAGCTCCCTGGTGCAGCCCAGTGAGGCTGGTGGGCTGCAGCCTCCTTTGATGAGTCCCAAGAGCCACAAAGGATTTAGGAAGGGCCCTTTCTCTGTGACCCTCATCTCACCTGCCATCTTTGCTTGATGGTCCTCTTCCTGACCACACTCTACCCTCTGCAGGGCAGCCCCCACCCCGTCCCCATCCGCCTGTCTCCTTCCTGCCACATCACGTCCTCAGTGCCCAACCAAGACCCCAGCCCATGCACGGTGCTCAGTAAATACCTGTCCTCTGCTGGGATGGACCCGGCCTTTTTGGTGCTTGACCGCCCAAGGAGGAAGCACAATGACTCTGTTTGAATGTAGAGTGTGGTCAGTAGAGACAGTCTGTCTGCATGTCACAGAGCTGCCCCAGGGTGCTCTGGGCCATGAGCCGATGATGCAGGGGATTCATGTCCATAAGACAGGACCACACTTTGGTCTCCAGCAGGACATGAGAAAACAACCTCAGCCCATAATGACTCACTGCAGGGTCCTCGGTCCTCCTAGCAGCTTAGTGGGTGTGAACGTGGGGTCAGTCTGGGAGGATCTGGGGCTTCTGTCAAAATAACAACATGGCCTAGGGGTGAGTTTCTACAAAGTAGGACCTAGAAAGTGACGATTGCTGTGCCAGCCCAAGGGTGGAAGAGGTCACCTCCAGCTGGTATGTGTCTGGGGAGGGAATTGGGGGTGGGAGAAGGGACTAGGGGACAGGGACGTGATCAGGGAAAGACTCATATGGCAGGACTTGCCACTAAATCATAGTAGGTGGGATTTACTTTTGGGGTCTGTAGAATGACCCCCATTTTACTGATGAGGTGATGGAGGCTCAGAAAGGTTAAGTAGCTGCCCAAGGCCACACAGCTGGTAAGTGGTGGAGCTCAGCCTGGAACCTGAGTGACGCTGTGCCTCTGAAGCTGCAAGTCCTTGATCAAGACTGTACTTAACAGATGGATGGATGGAGGAGGAAGTCGAGGTATATACAGACAATGGAATATTATTTAGCCATAGAAAACGAGGAAATCCTACCATTTGTGACAACATGGATGGACCTTGAAGTAATTATGCTGAGTGAAGTCAGACAGAGAAAGACAAATACTGTATGATCTCACTTATGTGCAATCTAAAAGAATGAAAAACAAAAATCCCACCAAACTCATAGAAAAAGAGATCAGACTTGTGGTTACCAGAGATGAGGGCTGGGGGAGGGGGATGGCAGGAAGGTGCTCAAAAGGTACAAACTTGCAGTTATGAGATAAAGAAGTACTAGCGACGTAATGTACAGCATGGTGACTGCAGTGAGCACAGCTGTATGAGAGACAGGAAAGACACCATCTGCTGCACGCTTGAAACTTATACACTGATGTATGTCAATTATCTCTCAATAAAACTGGAAAAACCATTCAAAAAATACAGAAATAAAAAAGAACCAAGCTTAAGATGGACAACTGCCAGTCAAATGCCGTGTCCCATGCAGACCATCGGCAGCCACCAAATCCAGTCTTCATGCTCATCTCAAACATGGCACTGGGCACTGGCTCCCTGAGGCATCTCTGCCCGGCTCACAGGGCTCTGGACCTTTCCTCCCTGACTGGGAACACAAGGTTGGAGGCCATCACCCTCATTATGGGAGGGGAAGCTGGATGAAGGCTGAGTTCAGAGAGCTGCCCTGGGCCAGCACTGACCCCAAGGGATGGTGTCTGTTTCACAGTCACCCGCAGCCCTGGATTCCCACTCCTGGCAGAACCAACAAGGGCACCTGCTGGGCCGATGGACTAATGGAGTCTCAGTTGCCTTGACCCCAGGAGGGCAGAGGGGAGACAGCACTGCTGAGGGCCTACTAAGTGCCCGGCCCCACCACAGGCACTTTGCCCACATGGCCTCATTAATCCCATGGAGCCATTGTAGTAGCTGTCACCCCACCCTGCAGGCTCAGATGGGGAGGGAACATGCCCAGGCCACAGGGAGGATACTAGGATGTCTTGACTCCAGAAGGTGGACTCTCCCCACAGCCTACGTGCCTACTACATACAATCCACACACTTGAAACCAGAGGTGGTAAGTGTCTACTAACCAGAGAGCTATGCTGTGATGGGCTGTCAGGGCACCTATGCCCTGCGGCCCCCAGTGACAGTGAGCCACCACATGTGATCTTCTTCACTTATTCCCATCCTCTTCCAGGTTCGTGTCTCCTAGTTCCAGGGAGATTGGCACTGTCCCACCGCCTGAGAGAGTCATCAGCAAGCTCCAAATTCTGAGCACGCAGCAGGGGCTGGTGTTGTCCGCTGTCTCAGGGACAGGAACGGAGGGTGGAGGTTCTGCAAATAGGGAAGACAGAGTCCCTGCTCCCTAGGCGAGTTCCATCCAGAAGGGACAGCACATTCAGAGTCAATAGACACCTGGGCTGGGCCTGCACTCGGCACGTTCCCCGTCTCTGCAGGCCAGATGTTGAGAGGAGGCACACGGGCCAGTCATTCTGCAATCAGGCTGGGGTGGGGACAGGGCCCATTTCTGATCACATCTTGGGTGCACTGAAGATGCAGCAGTAATAGAGGCGCTGCCCTCAGTGCCCCGTCAGCACCAGGTCAGCGAATGCCAGGCAATGGAAGCAGGGTGGATGTGCTCCCTGCCTTTGTGAAGCTTCTCATGGGGGCAGGAGATGGGCACCCATCATACCTGCGTCATAAATGTGTAACGAGGTTGCTGCTGGAAGGGAGCCCCAAGAGCATCCACCAGCACAGCTGGGCTTGGCCTGGGGGTTGGGGAGCTTGTGGGAGGAAGGGACCCTTGAGTGAGTGAGCAGTGGTTAACTGGGGGGAGGGGGAAAGAGCTTCCTTACAGAAGAACAGCCTGTGCCAGGCCCCAGGTCATCTCCTGGAGGAGCATCAGGCACTGTTCCCCACACTGCAGGGCGACAAGTATAAATAAGGAAATCCATCATAAGAGTTGGGGGCACTCAGGGAGGGGCAGGAGGTGGAACATGGACAGCCACGGGAGTCCAGGGTAGAAGGAAGCAGGCATAGGCAGCGAGTTCTGGAAGAAGAGACAGGACTGATGCCCACAGGGCAGTGTGAGGAGGGCCGGTGCAGAGAAGAGAGGGGAGGGATGTGCCAGGCCAGGGAGCAGCATGGGCGAGTCCCAGAGGCCAGAGAGCCTTTGATCTCTGTGGGGAGCAGGGTGGCTCCTGGGGCAGAGCTGGAAAGGCCAAAGGCAGGCTGGACTCGGGAGAAAGAGGCAAAATTCAAAGAATAATAGGCATCCATCAAGCTCAGTCATGTCCCCTGTTTGGCCCTGAGAGTGACAGGGTTCATTCTGTCTGCCCAGAGAGGTCCGGCCCAGACCCCGCACCTCTGTGTGAGAGCTCACAAGCTGCCCAGTGAGTTTCACTGGGAATTTGGCCCAAGTTTCAAAAAACAGACAGAGCAGGGCTGGGCCAGTGGCTCCTGGGAATGCAGCCTCAGCAGGTTGGGGCTGGGCGGCTTGCTCCCCAGTTCAGCACTTTCCTCCCAGGTTTCACCTACAGCCCCTGCAGAGCGCCTTTGCCACACAGCAAGCTTCTCAGACGGGGAAGCAGTTGCTGAGGGAAGATCAGAATCTAGCAGATGCCTCCTGGACCAGCCCTGGCGCCACCTTTCACTCTCACACTCATCCTTCTACCTGGGCTTCTTCCAAAGGCCTCCCCATGGGGACTGACCCCTCATGATGACAAGGAGCCCACCTTCTAGAGAAGCCACCTGCCCTGCAGTCACTGAGAGAGTGAGGGAACCTTCACCCTCCCACCTACCGTGCCAGTGGGCCCTGTCAGCTCTCTATTCTTCTTCTTAGCATTTCTGTTTCCTGTTGGAGAAGATATACTCACACTTGGAAAACACAGCAAAGGAAATTGTACTATACTGCCCCCTGATTCTTCCAAATCAAGGCAACTGCTTTCATCTCTGCCTATTATCTACTAGAACTCATGGAGAGGAGACTTGTTACCTCTCTGAGCTTCTATTTC